GTTGATGGTTAACCATCAACCTTATTTCTAGAATTCTAGAAATAAGGCCTTCTCTCTGGAGTAAATTTACTAATATACTGACATTTCGAAGTTTTTTTCGGCTCTCCATACTCAAAACGTTAACGGCAGTTGCAGTCTAGGTAACGGCCCTACCAAATGGTAGGAGGTGATTCACCTCCTCTCTACCTAGGTTATTCGCGCGAAGGTCCTTTTGCATGGTCGGATTGTACCCACAAGGTCCACTGCCAAGGGTCTTTAAGTCGCAAAACTAACAGCAAACTAACCATAAAGGCTAGCTGACCCGCTGCTCCCTACTTTGGCTCGTAGACTAAGTCCACTTTCGGTGAAGACTGCCTGCTGTATACGAAATCCCAAGGGCCGCCGTTTACTCCCACTTCTTACTGACGTCGTATTCCTGTGTTTCATATGCCCGTGTAGATTTAGACGAGGCACCAACACCCAAGAGTCCTTGAATATCCACATTGATCCTATGATTTTTCCAGGACTGTGCGCGATCGACATATGCATGTCTCCTTCAGGTTAATGGGATCGTCAAAGTAGTAAATTAAGCTTCGCATCCATGTCATTGGCCTATTTAACGGGCGTCCTTTATCATAACTCTAATAGTAACGTACTAATGATTTTTCCCCAGCTAACATACACTCGTCTCCAACTGTAGGTGGAGTCCGTTTCCCCCGTAATTTCCAAACACACTCCATCCAACCTTCACACAGTTATGACATATTGAGTATCAAAACTTAATAAAAACACCTCTGATGGACGAAACTTCCCGAAAACCCAAGTGCAGGACACCAACCGACAATTGTCGAGGCTCGGGGCGACCGAAAATACGGTACTTTTGATATCACACCCATTAAATCTCTTTACTCCTACGTAACGCTATCAAACAGTTCTTCATTTAGTGTATCACATTTACTTTTTGTAAAACATGGTTACAGTTCATTCTCTTTCTCGGTCTTCAACAGTTTTACGCACAATGAAGTTGAACGAAAACGCAGGGCCAGATTAAAATCGGAAACGGATTTCTTACACCAACAGTTACCTCCCGCTAACTATCGCGATAAACTTGCTATCTTCAAAGCAGGAACTGAGTTGCTGCAACATTACGCAAGTAAGTGCTCTTTTGCTGTCTATTTTGTACTTTGTAGATACCAATACCAGTGAGTTGAGGAAACTAATTCTAACCGAGGAGGAATACTCTGCGTGCGTTTTAATTGTAAGGTCACCCACTAGAGTAACCTATTTTTCAGAACTTCGATGGCTTTGCAGTCCGTATACGATGTCGAGATGGCGCAATCTTATCGGTTAATGGAGAGATCAAGGAACACCTTGGAGAGGAATTCGTACGTCACGTAATGTTTTGCTGCCTTTAATCTGTGCGTTATGCTTTTACTAAGCTGAAAATGTTGTATGAACGCCAGATCCATGTGCGACTTTGTCTATGTCTACCGTGTCTGGTAGTTTATTTGAAGGCAACCTTTCACGCTTCTTCGTCAAGTAACTTTTCGGCCTCCATTTTTTAAAGATTTCCTTAGAAAGAGTCCTCCGTGGTAGTAAATAGATGCGAAACCTCTAGTCATCATATCAGAAAAATGATTGAATGCGAGCAGACATCTTTCGGATACCTACAGCATGCTGTTTTTATTGCCACAACCTATGCACTATCCCTTTTTGTGCCCCGTCCCTAGCTTCTGATAATCCCCCTGAATTGGAAGATTGAAATAGCACGCTACTAGTGAAAGAATTTGGTGTTATTACGTTACTCCTATTTCTATTTTCACTGTATTTAATATTGCTACTAAAAAGCTTATCTGACAGAAGAAGGTGAAACTTTCCGTTATGGGTCTTTGCATACTTTATGCTTCATACTATCTTTTTCTTCTGATTGGACAAATCAACTTTACTTTATTGAATTAACCCGCTGTGTAATTCTTAATGGTTTGCTGTAGGCGGATTGCGTTGGAAAAACCTTGTATGACTATGTTGTAGCCGACAAACTTGCCGAGAATGTTATTAGGCAAAATCTAAGCCTCGCCACGGAGGATATTGAGGTTCTGGCGGCTGGACGTGAGTTACCTCTTCAATTTCAATAAGCGTTCCTTTATTTTCTATGCTTACCACTTTGAAATTTAGTTGGCTTTACTATGTACGGCTATCTGCACTTGTTTCATACTATTCCTCTCAGCACGTAGTACCTTTTTATTAACCATTGGGTGACCTTTTAAAAGTCTGCCATTCTTTTAGTTGTATGCTCTCCTGGGCACAGGCTTTGACACCCGTACGTTATTCGGCATAACAGAGATCCCTTCAATCATTCAAACTCTCTAGCATTTTATTTTGGAGATCAGAAGTCTATTTTTTCTACTGTCGTTATCAGTTAGCAATAAGCGCACAAGTGAGGAAAACCAAAAATAATGGGATAGAATAATTAAGAAATACAGATTGAAGCAAAAAATACTTAAGAAGATTAGATCGGAGCAAAAGGTTTTCCATTGTTTGTATTTTTTATTGCAATCAATAGTTGAAGTAAAATAGGCCATTGTTATAACGACCGTTAGTATTCATAGCACACCATTTGAAATCTGTACCTTTAGCTTTCCTCGAGGTCATAATTTGTCTCTGCTGGTGTTTTGCTATGTAAGGGAGTAAGAAAGTTCATTAATGTGGTTGCTCGCGGAGTTCTATTAATTTTGGAAATGTCACTATTTGCAATAATATCTCCTTTTCAATTCTTACCTTCTTTTCATCTTGTCGTACTCCACATTCTTCCTCCTGGGCTAGAATTTATAATTACACAACAAGAACTCTCTGTCCCTTTTTAGAAAGTGATTTGATTTTTTCTTGCTTTCCCTTCTAAGAAACCCTCGGCAGGCATTTTGTCTTACCCCTGGCCGGATCGTCACCGGATTGCTATTTCGTAGAATTTTGCGGAGACATCAGTAAGCCGAAAATTTAAATTTTACTGGTTCCATCTTCTTTATTGATATTAGCATAATAATCTGCGATTGATGCACTGACAGCTTAGGAGATCGGGCGTTATCATTTTCCGCCCGCACTCCTGTAACCACCGTCGTAAAATTACATTTAAATATTGAGTCCTTAGTTCTTCTCTTTCGTTGCTGTAGTTTTACCTCGGCAAGAAGGGGATCGAGACGCAAGCAGCGCGTTGGCTTCCGACGAGAGTATTCTTCAGGCTTTGTGTAAAAGACTGGAACTCTGTGAGTCTGCTTCTGCTTACGGAGTCCTCTTTTCCATGCGACTGCAACCTGGCACGTTTAACGTGCTGGAGATTAGTGGTCGGTGAGTGTATAGCGGTATTTCTGTTTTCTTTTCTGTCCAACTTTAAAATCGGAATTAAGATTTCCTTTGAATGCTGTGCTTTGTACTAATATGTAAGAGCAATCATGACTCACACCCTGCGCACGTGTAAGTAATCTTGAGTAACTGGAGTTTAGGCATCTGTTGGCACCATCTGGGCGACATTTAAACACGTGGTCTAAAACGCACATAAAAGCTAGTGTCTGCACAGGATCCTTCATCTTCTAACTTAAGTAAGTTTTTTTTGTCTTGTTGCATTCTACTGTTCCTTCTTGTGGAGCCCTATGGGAGGTAAAGTATGCTTCTACTACTCAAGCATTTCTTTTCATATCCAAATTTCTTCAATCGTGATGTGAGCAAGCGCTCCAGCTGTGTGCTTAACGGCCCTAGGGAGCACCGAGGTTGACGATTCCTTTAGAATTTGCGCAGGTCTGGAACCCTTGTATGCCCGGAAAGCAGCAGTTGCCACAGTAGCACTTTTTTTTAGCTTACATTCATTGCGTTTACCCATAAACGGATCTCATAGTGATTTAATAACGCACTTGGCTACCACAGTCGTTTGCTACCTCAAGAGGTCAGGCATAATCGAAGCAAACTTGCCAAGGTGTTCATGACGAGGTATACCTCGTATGTAAATAATCACTTGATAAGAGATTGTGCTTTTAATCTCTTCATTCAACATTTATAGTTTATTCTTATCCTAGGTCGGTGCCTCCAGAAATGATTCCTGAAAATGTGATGGGAAAATCGCTCCTTGATTTCATTCACGCTGATTTCAGGTCTGTGACTGAAAGCAGCTTACTAAAAGGTACGTTAACCCACGAAACTTGCCTACGATTTCGATGTTTTCCACCGTATACCCCACAGTAGGATGAGCGCGTGGACAGTGACTTCTGTGTGAATTTGTTTATCCTGATAGTAGCCTTACGCTGCATCCACTGCACTCCTGAGTCCGGTGTCATGACGCAGTCAGAAAGATCGGATGCGGAATCTGGCGCAATGTGAGTCGGCATTTAGGCGTGCTGCCACCCTCCCCCCATGCGTGATATTCGCTAGAAGTGTGCATTCCCAATCACATTTGTCATGCCCTGATCTGATCTGAATCCCGTAATAATCCAGTGCATCTACCGCGTGGGTGACTGTAACGGCCATTACTGACTAGTAATGCAACTCAGCTGTGCGGCTGCTGGCTGCGATCTAGATCGAACCTCTAAAAACAAGTCAAGCATAAGTTAGTCGTAACAGATTTCGGCTTTCCTCAGTAATTGGGGCTTCACGAATGATAGATTCACAGCTAAAATAAAGTCAAGTGGTTGGGCATTGATGGTATGCTGTAGATCACCTCCAATTGTTCTGACCTTGTCACTAACAGACAATTAAACATTAACTGCTGTATTGTCGTTCTACTTCGAGTAAAGTGACCGTTTTCATGCTTTTCCCTGCAGGTGGACGCTCTGTTTCTTCAACGTGTAGTACGCGATTGACAAATTCAGATACCTGCTATTCGGCGCATGTGAATAGCATCAGCCTGTGTGATTACGTACACTGCCTCGTTGTCGATTTTTTGCCTGCGTAAATTTGGCATTAGCGTCAAAACAATCCGCCACGGCTTCTATGCATACGAATACTTCCTTTAGTCTTTCATCCTTTGGACAACTCCGACAGGCTTCCAGTACTTTCTATACTTAAATCTAGAGAAGTCATCTAATTAAACCTCCAATTCTTTTTCCCTTTGTCCATTGTCTTTGTCCTTCTGATAAACGGACCTCGTGGCAATAGAGAGGCTGAGGTGAAAGTCAAAATAGTGAAAGTCACCGCCACAATAATAGCAGTCGTCTGTGAGAATTGTAGTTAAAGCAATCGAACCATGCCTCGGAAGATGTGTAGGTATTCGAGAAATTGAAAACACACTAGGGAAGACAGTGGTAAAGGAGGGGATAGGCTACTGAAGGCAGGTTGGCTAGTAGCTCTC